CAGTCAGATCTATATAACTTGGGAGGCAATCAGCAATGTCAAACCTGTGTTTGTTAGAGGTGTGTTTTCTGTAAAGAAGAATGAAAACCTAAAGAGCTTTCTGAACTGAGGAATAGGTCATTGCAGGCATGGAAGTGGAGCATGGGGGAGAAGGCAGAGTTTTTAGCATTCCCTCATGTATGTAGGACACGAGAGAGACTAAATAAAGAAACCTTTGTGCTAGATAATAAAGTTAGTCACTTTCTGAGATACAAACCCAAACATTGTTAGACAAAATACAAAGAAATGAATAAAGCTGATGTTTGACAGTAGGTAAATATTTGGTTTCCTGAACTCCATATAATGTTGAAATGTCATCATGGACCAGATTATCCTTTCAGACAGATACAAATGAAGAGCAAATTAATATAAATTAAGATCTTTAGCAGAAGTGAGCTCAAGGTTTCATACAAACACTTTGATGTTTAAAAGGCTCCTAAGGCCATTTACAAGCTCTGGAAGGAACGTTTTATCACTGAAAAAATGGCAGCTGTGATGAGGGTTTCTATTTTATTCAAGCAGGAATAAATTACATATAAGGAATTCAGTCTCTGTTCAGTCTGTGTTACATCATCATGTGGCTGGGATTACCTTAACATAGTTACAGATGATATTCCAGCAAAGAATGTTTTGGGTTTTGTAAAGCATTGCATGGGAGTTTCCTTCTAATTCAAATTCTTTGATTTGGAAGTGTGACGATCCTGTGATTTCACCAGATCTTTCTCAACTAGGAAAGCAAGTTACAAGCAGCTTTCTTCTTACTGCAAAGGGGTATTGCCTAGAAACCAGCACTACACAGAAGCAGATTTGAGGTCATAAATGCATACTTGAGTGAAGTTTCTTTGCAACTGAAAGTGCTTTATTTAATTGAGTCTGGTTTTTTTATGTGCTTACCTTTTAGCCTGTGAATAAACCTCCTCTGTAAGGCAGGAAAGTTAATGCAAATAGTTAATGCTTTTCTGCACTGGTATCCTGAGCATTGTAGAGCAAACACATTAGAGCATTAATCACAGATCTCTTTAAAATTAGATACAAGAGCAGCCCTGAGGAGAAGGACTTGAGGGTGTTGGTTGATGAGAAACTCAATGTGACCTGGCAATGTGCGCTTGCAGCCCAGAAGGCCAACCATATCGTGGGCCGCATCAAAAGAAGCGTGGCCAGCAGGTCGAGGGAGGTGATTCTCCCCTGCTGCTGTGCTCTCGTGAGACCTCACCTGGAGTACTGCGTTCAACTCTTGGGGCCCCCAACATAAGAAGGACATGGACCTGTTTGGAGCAAGTCCAGAGGAGGGCCACGAAGATGATCAGTGGGCTGGAGCACCTTTCCCATGAGGAGAGGCTGAGAGAGTGGGGGTTGTTCAGCCTGGAGAAGAGAAGGCTCCAGGGAAACTTTATAGCAGCTTTCCAAACCTTATAGCAGCTTTCCAGTACCTGAAGAGGCCTTACAAGAAAGCTGGAGATGGACTTTTTACAAGGGCACATAGTGATAGGACAAGGGGTAATGGCTTTAAACTGAAAGAGGGTAGATTTAGGTTAGATATAAGGAAGAAATTCTTCTCTATGAGGGTGGTGAGGCACTGGAACAGGTTGCCCAGAGAAGTTGTGGATGCCCCATCCCTGGAAGTGTTCAAGGCCAGGTTGGATGGGGCTCTGAGCAACCTGCTCTTGTGGAAGGTGTCTCTGGCCATGGCAGGGGGATTGGAACCAGATGATCTTTAAGGTCCCTTCCAACCCAAACCATTCTGTGATAAGGGGAAAAATGGAAAATGAATGTACTTTTTGTGTGACAGCTGTTGGCAAATTCTGAATCTGTGTACACCCTTTGTACTTCTTGGAAATAGATTGGTCTCAAGCGAAGGGCTTGCCATGTTCTGCTCGTCTAAGGTTGAAATGTTGTGATGTCATTTTTGATCTTGATTAACACTCATGACACAATCTGCTTAGCAATGCTGTGACGTTTATGTAATCTTTATGCTGAGATCATTGGTGTACATAAGCTTACTTGTACTTTTTTTTGTTTTGCTTACGTTCTGACTATCACTTCATACATTTGTTTTGTGTAATATCTGTACCTGCCTCTTATTTTTCCTTAATCCAAAACTTGAATTCTTATAAAAGTTCTTGACTGAGCATATCTTTTATGTGCTATATCAAATTTACACTTACACTGAAATACTTCTTGTAATCAAAAAAAATTGTCTCAAACTACAAATGCTTATTCAAATTTTTGTTTCTGAAGCATTTACTATATGGCATTTACTCAGAGATTGTTGTGGTATCGAATGATAAACTTCAGGTTTTCCCCTGGAAAACCAAATTCAAAGAACTAGTCCTTTGTATTACATTTTCTCGTAGTAGTATGAGCCACATAAAAGAACCATTACCTAATATTCTTCTAAACAGAAGGTGACTGCATTGTCAAAGACTGCTGGTGAGTAATTGCAGATAGTGTTGCCAAATTCTGACTAACTGGGTACAAAATTTTAGATTAAATCATTTACAAACTAGTAATGAGTTTTCAATGCAGCTTTTTTCCTTGTATTCTAAAATACTTAAAATGGACTTCATTTTATATGTGGACAAAGTATACCTGTATTTATTTGTAAGCAAATGCAAAATGGTCTCTTAGAGTATAAGTGCTACTTTTTGGGTTTGGGGGTGACAGCATCATTCAGAATGATCAAAAGGAAATGAAGAAGTCAATGATCAGATTCCACAGCAGAGAATAAAGGAAAGTTCAGCATAACATGTTGTTGTTTGCATTGTAACTTTGCGTAGCTGTTTTATATACTTTCTCAGAAGGCTGTGTTTTTCTTTCTATGTGAATGTGGGGTCAGTGGTGTTGAATTTTTTGATTACTGTGACACTTGTGCAATATATTTTTTATTTTTTTCATTGAAGAATTCTTTTACATGTGATGAGAATGTGTCTGGTAGGAAATAGTGATGCAGATGAAAGGCTTGCAGTAGTATTTTCAGTATTTTTATTTTTTGTGAAGACAAGTTTATGCAAAATTTCAGGTGGTGTGAGCTGTGTGAGTTTTTAAGGCGTGCTCTGAACTTGTTTACCCACATTCATTCCTACTTTTCCTCAACTACCTTTGTTTTTGAACTGCCACTGGGCACTTAGACATACTACATTTAACTTTGAACTGGTTAAAGATTGATTCTAGGGTAAATAGCAGGTCCTGGCTTTATTTACCAGAGATAAACATCAGGGTATTATCAGCCCCCTGGGTGCCTAGCTAGGGGATCCCAGGTATATCTCCTAGTTTGAGGATAGAGCTCTCCTAATTCAATTAAGGACTGTGTTTGAAAAAGGAAAGCAAGACTCCAGTCTTTGACGTTGTGTGGTCTTGCTCTTCCTCACTAAGATCCAAGTTCTGTAAGTCAGGAACCTGCAGTTACCACTTTTGGCCGTGATTGTCTTAAGATTATAAGGTGACAGTAAGTAGAAAGAAGAATCAGAAATTCAGTAGAAATTCTGATCAGAAATTTGTCAGAAATCAAAAAATAATGTGTGGGAGAAAGAAAGGAAACACTTCATGTCTGGATTACTCTAGTGTTTTCAGGAAAATTTCCTACACAAATCCAGCCAAATCTTCCAGTCATAACATGGGATGGAGTGTGAGCTAGAAAGGCCTCAGACCTGCTGGGACTTGCAGATAAACATGCTGGAGGAGGATTCCCCATTAGAAACAGTCTCACTGTGACCCATCTAATAGTTACAAAGTGCAGCTGAGTTTGCGTGCGCCAGAAATTTTCTGTGTGGTCCCAGGATCCAGTGAAGTACCAAAGTTGCAGGGTGTCATTGGGCTCAGTTTCGGTGCTGCAGGGGCACTGCTTCCTACCTGGGTTTTGTTTAGCACCCGTGTCGAACTTCTGTGTAGCACAGAAGTCAGCCCCAGAGGGCTTACATAGCCCTTGCAAAAGAGCCATTCCCATTCTGAAGTCTCATTTTAATCTCTTCAGAAAGATAAGTTTAATGGTTTGGTATTTTGTCTAGTATTTTTGCATTTCTTCTTCAGTCCCTAATTTCATGTCCCTTGTGTGAAAAGGTCTGGGCTCAGAATTTTGCAACTAATTAACATCAGTTAACTACCTGGCACAAACCAATTGTATCACCAGTACCCTGGATGCTGTCCTAATCTTTCAGCTGGTTGCTGTCTCTGTGCTAGAAGAGATTTCAGCAGCCAGTCATTCTTCATGCTAGTCATTATCTGGATGCAGGCAATATAATAGCTTATGTACTGTGTCCTTGTGAAGTAATGTGGTAGTCTGGATTTCTTTCCTAATGAACAAGCATTTGTCATGTGAAAATCATCCCTGAGGAATTACCTCGCGTATGGAATTAGCACAGCTGAAGAGATGTATGGAACACAGGATCTCTGAATTAAAGGCCTTTGGTTAGAGCTCAGGTGGGGTACATTGCAATTTTTCCCTATTTATTATATATCCTAAGGTGTAACAACAAAAAAAACCTCAACCTCTGTGTACTAGTCTAATGCGCTGAATGTTCATTGATGTACAATAGCGATACAGATCTTTCATGTGTGAATGCTACTGGCCTAAGGGAAAAATAATTTGAATACAAAAGCAATGAGAATTATCTGTTCACAGAGTTTTGCTTTGTTAGCATCAGAGAATACATGGCCAGAGTGTTCGGCTACCTGGTAGGGACCATACATGAATGGCTTCTAAAGTAATGGTATTTTGGCTTTTTTTTTTACTTTATTTTTTTTATTTTTTCTCTCTCAGTAATGAATCTTGCAGTACTTTAGCTATGCAACTTCTTAATTGAATCATGCTTTGATTTACGATCATTTTAACCTTTATGTTACTGAAGCTGTTTTTTGATTGCATCGTGTATAAAAGAAACAAGTCTGGAGATAAAAATAAATTGGACGCTGGGTTACAAAGATATATAGCAAAATGAATCTTTGTTTCTTTTGTTGCATCTTAGGAGGCTTTTCAATGGGAGGTGGAATGGCAATGCATTTAGCATATAGGTTTCATCAAGATCTGGCAGGAGTATTTGCTTTGTCTAGTTTTCTCAATAAAGACTCTGCTGTTTACCAGGTGAGTGTGTGGTAGAATTTACAGAAAAACTGCTTAGCTAAAAGAAAAACATGATAATTAAAATTGAGTATAGCATCTTTATTCATCTGAGACAATTGATTAATATTCTGAACTTATGACGTTTCCTGGAAATAGATAAGCAGAGTATTAGGGAAGTGAGGCTTTAAAGCTGTCCTTACATGATGTTTTGTTTCTTTTTTGCATAGACAGTACAATTATTTTATTTAAAGTAGGTCAATGTAGAAGACAGATTAATGAATGAAATGCTTTGCAAGTTGTCCTTAGTTGTTAGAGAGTCCATGTAAGTGTAACTATTCTTTGAAAATTTGTGATGAATTATAATACTCGTGGGCTCCATCTGCCGTCATGAATTTTTTCTGTATCTCTTACTTAGAGAGCGATATAGACCTTAAAGTAAACACTATCATTTGTCAAGAGTTAGCACATTGGAATTTGAAGTGCAGGTTTTTTCAATATTTCCTTGTTTGCTTTTGTAGAGATAGTACAATATGACCACTAAAACACAGGTTAATAAATGAAATGCTGTGTAAATTGTCACCATGTAATCGTAACTATTCTTTTAAATTTTTTAGTGATGTGTCTGACAGTGTTTCTTCTCCATTTAGGCTTTGAAAAGAAATGAAACTGTTCTTCCAGAATTATTTCAGTGTCATGGAACTGCTGATGAACTAGTTCTCTACTCATGGGGTGAAGAGACCAACAAGATGTTAAAGTCACTGGGAGTATCAACATCACTTCATACTTTTCCAAACCTTAATCATGAGTTAAGCAGGACTGAAATAGAAAAACTAAAAACCTGGATTTTAGAGAAATTACCTGTGGAAGGAGCAAAGACAAACAAATAAAAGAAGATGCAGCTTTCATGTACTTCCTGATCTTTGTGGTTTTGAGTTCATGTGTGGCATGTATATGGGTGTCCCATATACATTATATAAGCACAGCTTCAGGTAGACACTGTTATATTCCATAAAGTTCACTTAAGTGCTAAAATGACGGTGCTGACTATTAACAGTCATTTTATCACATGGGTTTCTTTTTCTGTTTTCTTGTCCAGTTTTTAAATACACATCCACATCAGTTTATGGAAAATAATGACTGATAATATTAAAACCGTTCCTAAATAATCAAAACAGTATTCAGGAAGCATTGCTCTGAATTTCCCAGATTTTTTTTTTGTATGTGTTCCAAGATGGAAAAATACACAGTGATATGGTTGTCTTTCTAATGGCATTACAGAAGAAAAAGGCCAATTACTAAAATAATGGACTTCTACTTGTAGAAATACATGCCTATATTCGTTAGTCCACTGAGAGGAACCATATTGGCTTCAGTTGGATTCTCATCAAAGCAGAGTTGTATGTCACCTCAAAAAAATAACTGATGTTTGTGTTACATTTTTAAAAGTCATAAGTAGCTGTGTCTAGGTATACCACAGACTCTTGTTATTTCCCATTCTCGTCATTTCGTTACTCAGATCTAGCTTTATGTGAGTTGCTTGAGGCCTGTGTGGTTTATAGTGTAGGTTCTTAAAAAGAAAAAAAAAGTGCCATCATGATTGTTAAGATCTATCCTGTTTTTGAAGAAATCATTCTTTGGGCACTGTTCCTGTAGAAACTTATTTTTGCCAACAGTTTTATTTTGGTCTGCAAGATCACTTTTTAAATTAAAGGATGAGGATACTTGACTCCTCCATGAATATTTAAGAGTTGTAAATAATGATTGTGATATAAAGAAAACTTGTATTCCATTATTTTAATGGTGGATGATTCATCTGTGTGTCAGTTTGATAAATTAACTCAGAGTATAAATATCTATTCTTATGTAATTTTAATGCTTTTTTAATGTCCCCCCTCTGCCCCATTTTCTACTCCCCAAATTCAGTAATTTTATTAGCATGACAAGGTATTCAACCTTTTGCCAAAGTCAATAGATCCAAGTCTCTTGCTTAATCTTCTCCTTCCCCCTCTTCTGAAGAGTGGATCTAGGACACTGTTGTTTGCTCTGTCACAGCAGATTGCTGCCAGTATTGGCTATGACTCCAGAAGTGTCGGCCAGCTCTGGGGGACTAAGTTTTGTTCGAATCCTCATGCACTGAGACCTAAGCCAGCTTTTACCTATCTTGAAGAATAAGCAAAGGGGAAAAAATGTCACTGTTCAAGTACAAGGCATGTAATTGGCAGTAGCAAGTAACAACTTCCTGCTGCTAAGAATATTCTGCTTTATTTCATTTTGCTAGCATTAGCAAGTCAGCAGTCTGTTCTGAAAAACAGGATTTTAAATGGCACATGAAAATTCAGCTATTAGAAATGGTAACTGAAAAGCATTTTTTCCTGGTGCCCTAGGCTTCCTAATTACTACAAATTAAATTGAAACAGGTGTGTTCAGAGGCAGCTGAGCTAACATTGCCTTGGCCCAACTCTAATTACAATCCTTGACAAGTGAAGTTGTAGCATTTTAGAGATAATACATCACTTTGAGTTTTGCACCATTTTCTGCTCTTCCTGCAGTTCCTATCAGGAGGCTATTTGAACCACTAATGCAAGGTGGTAATTCATTTTGGTGACAGGTGCATTCAGATGGGAAAGTGGTGGGCTCCTGGCAAGGTGGCTTTTAACAAGGTCAGAGAACAGTGCAAACCAGTTGAAATAAGATCATGGAGGGAACAGAAATTATTACCAAGCCAAACCCAGTTCTTTTGATTCTTTTTGCAGTCTCAATAATTGCAAATACAGTGGATACAGAGTTTGGTTTTGTTCCCTTCATATAGGCTGAGAAGCAATTAAGAAGGCCTGCATTTCATGACATTCTTGGAAAACAGTGAAGTTTGCATCTGTTTTCTTCCATCTTCCTTGTCTTGTGAGTGAAATGCCAACTAATCAGGAGGTGCATTGTGACATAAGATTGGTAATCTGTTAGGTGTATGCTGTAAAGGGGTCCCAAATCTCAGAGTTTTGAGGTCACTTGGGATATTAGAGAACTTCTCAATAGTGTTTTCCTTCAGTCTGCAGGTGGCTACAGTGAGGACAGTGTGACTAGCCTGGCGCATTTGCTGAGGATGGTGTGGCTCTGTGTCCCAGATGCTGCCTAGCTCAGGCTGGACAAACAGACTGAAGTTTAGCCCAGAAAAAGTTGGACTGCTGGTTGGTGTTGAGAAGCAGCCAGAGGCAGTATTAGTCCTTGAAGACAGTGGGCCCGCTGTTAGATCTCTAGTCAAATGACAACTTTAATAGTCAAAATTAGCCCAGCTGCTAGACAGCATGCTTCAGAAGTAATACAGATAGGTTTTTGACTGACTGGGCTTTTTTGACCTAGTCCCTTTTTATTATACTTAAAAGTCATTTTCGAATTGATACTGGAGCACAGGGCAGGGGTTCCTTTGCCAAAAGAACATCTCAACAATGCTTATGGCACTGCAGCTCCAGGATCTGCCTGTTGAGTGCTGGGTGGAGTCTGAAGTGCATCGTAGAATGTTTAAGGATCAAAAAGAGTTCCCTATTGACTCACTGGTAGCAGGTGCCAGGGCATACAGAGCCCTGAACTGGTATCTCTTGTCAGTTTTATCTAGATTTAGGTGACAAGAATGGAAAAGAATGCAACTGTTTTCATTCATCCCTAATCTTTCACTCCTTGTATCTTTAAGGGTGTTTACATAGCATATGAAGATGTTAAGGAGATAGATGCCATGTACTCTTAGGAGGAGCAAACTCAGGGCGCGCTCTCTCTCTTTTTTCTTCTTTTTTTTTTCCCCCCTTGTACATGGGCTTTCTCCTGTTTCTGTCTTACAGATTGAAGGAGAAAAACATGTTTAAAGATACAGTCCTGTACATCATTTTAAGGAATAAATTGCAAGATTTCAGTGCCAAGCATGGATCTGTACCAGTTGAGCTCTGAAGATATGAGAACATAAACTAGAAAGGCGGCAGCTGTGTGCTGTGCTGATCCGGAGGAGGCAGGAGCAATTAGTTGGCATTTGGTTTATGTTCCTACTGTAACTCTTTCAAGGTCTTCCCCCCCCCCCCCCCCACACCACACACCCACGCCCCCACTACACACCACCACCC